AAAAAACAAAGACTTTCTTTCAGCTTCTGTTTTGTGCTTCACGGAAACATGGCTGTGTGATTTGATTCCGGACACTTCGCTACAACTAGCAGGATTCCATCTTGTAAGATCGGATCGTGACATAGCACTCTCCGGCAAGACGAAAGGCGGTGGTATTTGTTTTTACATTAACAGTGGCTGGTGTGTAGATGTCACAGTGATTCTGCAACATTGTTCTCCACTCCTTGAATACATTTTTATAACCTGTAAACCGTTTTACTCGCCTCGCTCATTTTGGTCGGAGTTTATTTGCCACCTTGTCCTCAGGTTAAAGAGGCCCAACGCATGCTCGCCGATCAGATTCTGAGTGTGGAGCGAGCAAATCCAGATTCGTTGGTTATCGTACTTGGCAACTTTAACAAAGGTAATCTCAGCCACGAACTCCCCAAATACATACAATTCATTAAATGCGCAACCAGAGAAGGGAACACTCTGGATCACTGCTACACTACAGTCAGTAGAGCCTACCACGCCGTCCCCCGAGCAGCACTAGGACACTCTGACCATGCCATGGTCCACCTGATTCCTGCATACAGGCAGAAACTAAAACTCTGTAAACCTGCTGTGAGGACATCTAAATAGTGGACCAGTGAGGCTGTGGAAGATTTGCGGGCGTGCTTAGACTGTACTGACTGGGATATGTTCACGACTGCTATCAATAGTCTGGATGAACTCACAGAGGCTGTGACGTCCTACATCAGCTTCTGTGAGGACTGCTGTATCCCAACACGTACCAGGGTGAACTTTAACAACAATAATCCCTGGTTCTCAGCAAAGCTCAGAAGGTTGAGGTTGGAGGAGGAAGCGTTTAGGAGTGGGGATAGAGACAGATTCAAGGAGTCGAAGAACAGGTTTAGCAAAGCGGTGAGAGAGGCTAAACGACTGTACTCAGAGAGACTAAAACACCAGTTCTCTACTAACGACGCTGCTTCTGTCTGGAGAGGGCTCAGGCAGATCACCAACTACAAACCCAGAACCCCCCACACCACTAACGACTCCCGCCTAGCCAACGACCTGAACGAGTTCTACTGTAGATTTGAAAGACAATTGGACTGTCCTGAACCACCCCTTCCCACCCAAGAGGCCCCACCCCCCACCCATACTACAGAGACGATTCTCTCCTTTCAGGAGGGAGAAGTTAATAGACTTTTCAAGAGGCAGAATCCACGCAAAGCAGCCGGGTCGGACTCTGTCTCTCCAGCCACCCTCAGGCACTGCGCTGACCAGCTGTCTCCGGTGTTCACCAACATCTTTAACACCTCCCTGGAGACATGCCATGTACCAGCCTGTCTCAAGTCCTCCACCATCATCCCTGTGCCCAAAAAGCTAAGGCCAACAGGACTAAATGATTACAAACCGGTCGCCCTTACATCTGTGGTAATGAAGTCTCTTGAGCGCCTGGTCCTGGCACACCTCAAAGCCATCACAGACCCTCTCCTGGACCCCCTTCAGTTTGCCTACAGAGCCAACAGGTCTGTGGACGATGCAGTTAACATGGCCCTCCACTTCACCCTACAGCATCTGGACGCCCCAGCATCCTACGTCAGGATCCTGTTTGTGGACTTCAGCTCTGCCTTCAACACCATCATCCCTGCCCTGTTTCAGGACAAGCTCTTCCAGCTGAACGTGCCCTACACCACCTGTAAATGGATCACAGACTTCCTGTCTGACAGGAAGCAGTGCGTTAAGCTGGGAACACAAATCTCTGACTCCAGGTCCATCAGCACCGGAACTCCTCAGGGCTGCGTCCTTTCCCCATTGCTCTTCTCCCTGTATACCAACAGCTGCACCTCCAATCATCTGTGCGTCAAACTCTTGAAGTTTGCGGACGACACCACCCTCATTGGGCTGATCTCTGGTGGGGATGAGTCTGACTATAGGTGGGAAGCTGACAACCTGGTGACCTGGTGTAGCCAGAACAACTTAGAGCTAAATGCTCTAAAGACAGTTGAGATGGTTGTAGACTTCAGGAAGAATACAGCCCCCCTCACCCCCATCACCCTGTTAGACTCCCCAGTCAAAATTGTAGAGTCCTTCCACTTCCTGGGCACTATTCTCTCCCGGGACCTCAAGTGGGAACTGAACATCAGCTCCCTCACCAAGAGAGCTCCACAGAGGATGTACTTTCTACGGCAGCTGAAGAAATTCAACCTGCCAAAGACAATGATGGTGCAATTCTATACAGCGATCATTGAATCCATCCTCACCTCCTCCATAACCGTCTGGTATGCTGCTGCCACTGCCAAGGACAAGAGCAGACTGCAGCGTATCATCCACACTGCTGAGAAGGTAATTGCCTGCAATCTACCAACCCTCGAGGACCTGCACACGACAAGGACCATGAGGCGAGCGAGGAAGATTATGGCCGATTCCTCCCACCCTGGACACTCTCTGTTTCAGCTACTCCCCTCCGGCAGAAGGCTTCGGTCCATCAGGACCAAAACCTCACGCCATAAAAACAGTTTCTTCCCATCTGCTGCTGGCCTGTTAAACAAGGCCAAGGGCTTACACTGATTTTAACATTTTATCTACATAATGACACCTTGCCGATATTAACTATGTTAACCTATTTGTATTTTTTATTTTTAAATTATATCTTAAAGCTATTTTATATTCGATATTTATTCAATTTTATATACTTCAGCCCCTTGGTGTTAGTTAGACTTTTAACCCTTATTATTATAGTAAGACTTGTTTAAAACTTATTTGAGATTTTAGATTCCTATATGTTGAATGTATGCACCATCCTGCCAAAGTAAATTCCGTGTCGGTGTGAACTTTCATGGCGAATAAAACCCTTTCTGATTCTGATTCTAAGTTGACTCAGCCTGAATCAGTGAGCACCTGGCGTGTGGTTGGTAAGCATCAGCGCCACGTGCGACGAAGGGGGCCGGGCGTGGTGCTATGGTCACACCACCTCCTCGTGAACCCTGCCGGACTTAATGGGCACTCGATAACAGCACTTACCCAAGCAGCCTGCGGAGGCTACACGGGCGATCTTCGTCTTTGTTGGTGTGGGAGGCGGCGGTGCAGTGGTTCCAGCACTGCACTTGACTCCCAACAGCTTGGGGCTCGTTGCTGGCAGCCGCCCATGTCAGTGGGTGAGCGATACCCAAACCGGCCAAGGGACTCCCCCCAGGTCAACACAGCCTTAAATTAGTACCATGGCGCTGCGTGTAAACATCGCCAACAAGGAGACAAATGTGGCCATGTGCGGCGCTGAGCCCACCCATCATCCTCCCCTGGTATGGCGAGCACCACGGTATTCGATCTTCTTTCGCACGGCTGCTGATGTAGATGCAGAGCAACAACTACGATTTTACATCCAGGTGGTTAACCGCGTCAGGAGCAAAGTGCATCGCTGCGGCTTCTCCTTCGTATTTGTCGATCAGGGGGAAATTGCGTCGCTGTACGCCGTACGGTCTGTTCTGGATGACCACAGTCGCACACCGGACAGTTTTTTAATTTTCCATTTGTGCATCGGGCATCCGCATCTACTGCCATAGTTTGTGCAGTGGATGCGGTTTAGGGTGCACCATGAGCTTCGTGGGAGATCAAACCCAGGGATCGTTTGCGTTGGGTCTTTCTTCTGCGTTGGGTCTTCGGTGCTCCGCTAACGTCATGTGCCCTAACACTCCACAAGGCTGCTTTGAAGATGTATGTCATTGTCTGCGGGAGTTTCCGTCAAGTGGGTACGATACAATGTGTGCACATGATTCAGGGGGAGGAGGAACGAGGGTACCTGGAGTCTTGGCAAGCGCGCATTTGACGTGTTCGCACGCACATCGTAAAACGAGCGTCAGGTGTTTATTTGGGAAAACGAGTGTGGACGTAGCAGGCAGGAGTGACTGCTTATTAAAACAGCGTCTGCAATATATATAAAAATAAAAGTGTTGGATTACATCCCACGCAGATTTTGCTCGTACTAATTTGGTTCACAGATAATGAGAGCAGGCGGTCCATTTTCTGTGCAGTGCGGTTTGTCGCACCGCAGCATCACAGCACTTAATGGCAAATATAAAAGCACTATTTTTAATTGGAAGCGCTCGCGGCAATGCAGGAGGAGGCCTTTCTTAAAATGTTCGACGAAACGAAGAGTGGCCATTTGCTCTCGTAGGAATATCCCCCCCCCGCCCTCACCACCACCATGAAAAAATGGGGCAAAATGTCAATTTACAAACGGAAAGTTCTTCACGATAGCTGCCCAGTTGTTTAAACTGTTTTGAAATGGCAAAGCCAACAATTTGATGCCTGCATCGCCAGGGTTAAACTAAGGTCACCGTGTCCTCGAAGCCAGGACGATGCACTGCTTTCCGTTTTTGGGTAACCACACTCTGCGCACAGATTGTCCTACCACTTGGCGCAAATGTCCAAACAGAGAAAAGCAATCGTGTTGATGACTTCCTTACGCAAATGCTGCGATTTCACTCACTCCTCTGCTATTTAATCGGGCCAACTGGAAAGGCGAAACGTGCAAATTGGTGAAGCGTCGTTGGCATTAGTGTGGAACGAGAGAGGGGAATGAATAAGAAAATAAAGACACGAGATAATCCGCTCCGGTGCAGCACGTCCCGCGTGCGTAAACGCATTCACACGTTTTAATGCGGGGCGCGGGGGGGTGGGTGGGTGGGGAGGGCGTCGATGTTCGGCTGGAACCGGTGGACGGGCCGGGACACAGAGGGATCGGGCGAAGCGTAAACGCCCCATTAGTATTCAGCGCAAGCGGACGACGAACCTGAACAAAATGGATTCTCAAAACAATAAAGCCGAGCAAACGGCCCCGGCACAAGGAGCTCCCTGGTGGATACATTCTGGCGTGGAATGCTTTACCTACCACTCCTCCTCCTCACGCAGCAGATGCACGGACAGTAAATAACAACACACGCATGCATGCAAAACGAAAAAAACAACAACAACAGAAACCGCATCGCAACCTGCCTGCAACGGACGTGCGTACAGACCTGGCATGATGACGTCTGAGAAGCCGAGTTTCCTTGCGAAAGGCACGCCACGGGAAAAGATGATGGGGTGCTCGCGTTTCATTTGGTCCATCTCTCCATGCAGCATCTGCAGTGACACTATCAGCCCTGGGGACACGAGAAGGGGCCAGCCATCGTCAGCGATCACCACCGACAACGACCACAATGACAACGATGACGACAACAACAACACCGACAACAGCTACGACAATGACGAAAACAATGGCGGCGACAACGGCAACAGCGCCGACAACAACAACGCCAACAACAACTACGACAACAATGACAACAGCAATGACAACGACAACAACAATCACAACAAAGACAACAATGGCGACAACAACTTCGACAACAGCGAAGACAATGACAACAACAACAACAACAAAAATGGCAATAGCAATGACAACAATCACGACAATCACAACAATGACAACAACAATCACAACAAAGACAACAACGACAACAACAACGCAAGGCAACGACACATCGCAGCCGCGGGGGCCTTTAGCGAGGACCACTTTGTTCGGTGACTTGGTGAGCATTAAAAACAAAAAAAGTCTTTAAAGGAATTCCCGCTCAAATGAGCCTTGACACGGTGCCAATCTCATATTTACAGCCGTAAGGCAGTGGTGGAAATTCCACATTTCTACGATGGAACAGCGAGAGTATATATGTATAGCGGAAAACCACTGTCGACTTTCACACAAAGTTGCAGTCGGTTTAATCGACCACGGAGGGATGATGGGTTGAGTCAACCCCCAATCAGAATTTCAAACTTATGACCTTCGACGAACAATATTATTCACAATCAAGATTTTTGGTGTTAGATCGCGTAAGTGAAAATGTGTCGTAGCCCTCCACCACCTGACACAGCCAGTACGGTTTGTCCACTTTTTTTCAAATTTTCTTGCTGTGGTTTCCACACCTGATGATGATTGCTTGTGTTGCAATCGAAACGTCGTGATAATTTTATTGTTTTATTTTTATTATTTTATTATTTCCCTTTCTACGTGACTTCACCGAAAGAAACAAGAATACACATTGTAAATGTCGTGGATTTACTCTCCAACACACCGTTGGGCTGAAGTGGTAACTAATTGGCACGTTTTGTTTACGTGACAAAACCTTCCTGGCTGTGTCGCGTGGTGGAGGGTTACGACACGTGTATATTTGTGCGATATAACCCCAAAAATCTTTATTGTGAATTCTGACCTTCCGCTTGCACGCCACTCACTCTACCGCTGAGCGAACCTGGCTGTTTATTGAGCATCGGATGAGGCATTAAGAGGGATGGCACGGACCTCTTATTGGGAAACCACACAAAAGCAAGAGTGTATGACACCAAATCGATGCGGTGTCCCTTAGGGACTTTACATACAAGCTACGAATGCTTTGGTGTTGTCGTTGTTGCTTTAGTGTCGTGTGTATTGGGCACTTCTTACAGCAGCAAGCAAAGTTGCATACCACACCACGCCTGACTAGGAGTGTCATGACGGTAAGATTTTCCGACTAGCTTCGATTCGTCACTCATACCGGCATTTGCGTTATGGCGTGCGAGAATCCATCGCCGTATTTGCCTTGTGCGTACATAAATGGGTCCACGTGACCGCTGTTTCCATGAGAGGCTGCGATATCTCAGAAATTCAGTCATTTCTTCTCGTGGCCATCAATGGGCCAGCACCACTGTTGACCGAAATGTTATTTAAATTTTTGTTTGACGCAAAGTGCTTTGTTCATCGCCGATATTATTTTTTCTTTGAGTGCGAGCAAAAAAAAAAAACCCGTACGTATATGGACGCTAACAGCGGCGTAAAATAAACAACCCCTAACACTCTTCCGTGAAAATGTAAAATGCGACTTTTAGATTCGCCCGTTCGTCAAAAGCCTCACAAGGTCCCGCAGACCACCGACCTCACAAGGTCCCGCTCAGCGAAACGGCGCCCTGAGCTTCGACCGTGGGCTGACCGCCGCGCGTTTGTCTGCAAGCCGCACAAGCTCTGGAATTCTCTTGGAGGCCGGGACCTTGCACATCGTACATTGCAACATCGTGACGTTGTGGACGGCATTACAATGGGATCGACGGCGTCAGCGGGCACACCGGACTCATCAGAGCAGGCGGGGGGGAGGGGAGTCGATGGACACTTCTAAGCCCCTACTGAAGAGCCCCACCAATTATTTAACAAGGCTTCCTGTCACTTCGTGTGTACTGTATGTGGAACTGTTTTCGCACCGTATGCATCCAACCGTGCTAATTAATCTCGTCTCTTTAGTCCATCTCTCCACGGTTACTTCTCACTTATTTTCTTAACTTACATGGCACAGAGTTCGGAGAATCCACTGTTTAAAGGTCGCCTTATACATTTAAATTATTATCATCATCATCATCACTGCAGAAATGTTAACAGGGGAAGCCCCTTCCACCTCGAGCCCCCACAGTCGCCCTTCCCCCGCACCTCCGATTGGCACGGTTGGCTACGTACGGTGAAAAAGAAGTTCAACATACATACATCTGTCGCCCATTAAATAGGCTTTATTTTAAGACCAAAGTCTTATTGATAAATGTGTTCAGCAAAAAAAAAATCACATTCTGTCGTAGGGCATTTGAAGAAAAGCAACGGGCTATAATTGTATTTTTTATTTTATTCTGTATGCCCATTCTATGGTATCCGGGATGGTATCTGAGTGGAGTCCACTCGTTCCACCAGAGTACGCGCGCTGAATCGGGCAGTCATCGGTGATATACGCCTAGGGGGATTGCACCTCACAGCGTTCGCAGTTTGGAGAGTCCATCTTCCATTTATAGAGGAAATACAGTAAGTGTATATGTTGGTGTGCAATGACAGAATATTTGTAACCGTGGATATGGCCGACAGCAAGCAACAGATGTATCGAGTGCTGGGGATAAGGGATGCCTCGAAATCCCAATCCATATGTGCAGTTTCATTTTTAATAGCCTGTCACTTTCACTTATTCCTTAGGTGCCGCAGACTCGGACGCAGCACAAGGCAGCCACTCTCACGTGGTGCACATTATGAGCTCAATTATTACGCAGAAACAAGGCCAGAACCTTTACAAAACATAACACCAAATAATTCGATTTTTTTTTTATTTTACCAAGGCCCCACTGAGGTATACAGCCTTTTTTTGTTTTAAAGCAGCGACCTGGCTATCACAAATGATAGCTCAAGTGAAGTGGCTTATAACGGGGAAAATTTGTAGCAGCCAAATACTCTAAACGCGTGATCGTTGTTTCTAAATGGGGAGGGGAAAAAAAACGAAGGACCCGGAGAAAAATCCACGCGACCACAGCGAGAGAGAGACACACAAACTCCAAATATACAGCAGGCGTCAGGGTCGGGTTCGAACCCACGATCTCCTTTAACATCTCGCCCCCCCCCAACCCCTTCCCCCCCCCCCCCCCCAATTTTGTGTAATCGCGATTTCCACAATGGCGCGTAAATATTTGACGCGATTGAACGCAAGCTGTCTCTCTGCTACTGCTCTTGCACAAACGGAGTGGCGACGCACAGACCAGTTGGTACGCATAGAGCTCTGCGCTCGAGTCTGGTGTCTTTAGAGGTTCAGGTGGTGCTCGTGGGCAGCGCGTTTACAACTCGCACAGCCTAGGTCATCACGAGCGCGCAAGCGGTTGTTAGCCATGGCCGCGAATTGAATCCAGGCCATTGGATTCACGTCCCAGTGTGTTAATGACATATTGACTTGTTTTAAATGCGATTCTGCAGGCAATTAACGACGCATAAGTTCCAACGAATTAAAGTAATTAATTACACAAATTTTATGCATGCGATGTATTTCTGAGAAGTTGGTCATATGCCTACGGATGCCAATGCTTTCAGTCATTTTGGAGAGGTTGTATGTATGTTTGTTGAGCCCCTTTCGCACCGTACGTAGCCAACCGTGCTAATCGGAGGTGTGCGGGGGAAGGACAACAAACTAAACACAAAAATCAGTTCCAATTTTTTTTTTGTCAAACTAGATGATGATTTAAAAGTGCATAGCTCCAGTGGCTTCCTAATATCGGAAGAGCGTTCCAGACGGCCGCAGAAGCGCGTCTGAAATCGCGCGATGCGGTGGCCGCCTTTGTTTGATGGCTCGTGTAGGAATCGATTATTTAGATTTAATAACATCAGTCCTTGTTCTGCTCTACCCCCCCACCCACATTACCAACCAGTACGAGGCAAAACGCGGTGAAATATGGTCAAACGAGCCCAAGACTGACAACAAAGTGATGGAGGCCTTCATCCGCCAGCAAAGCCACGCAGTCCTGTATTATTAAACAATTTAAAATTTGAAATACAGATCACAGAAACAATTAATACGCTTGGTATTTTCGTCATCTTTGTGAAGCGCAACGCTATGACGAATGAACACCGTAAGTTATTTTTCTAACGGACAGCAAATGTCTTTTTAAATTAGCATCGTCGAGAATGTCTCCCGGTTACCACCAAAAGTCACTACGTCTCTTTGTGAGGCGCCCTCCCATTGCGTGATATCAGACAAGAGTGCCTTGTACTGAAAGCGACCCCCCCCCACTCCCCCGCCCATGTCCGTGTCTTGGAAAGAAAATTAAAAATAAGACAAGACACAATTTAGGTAATCAGGCCAATTCATGTGGAAATGCCAAAGCAGCAGCGATGCTGTGGGACCATCAGCCAATCTCGTGAGCAGCTCGCACATAGACGACATTACATCAGGGTGGTGGCGCAACGGGGAAGACGCGTGCCTCACAACACGAAGGTCCCGGGTTCGACTCCCGGCTCGGGCATATCGTCACTTTAAGATGTTTTTCTTGTTCGTGTTTTTGTTTGTTTGTTGTGGTTGCACCCGATTCAAGAACCGAATGGCTCACAGGGCTATACCAAAATAAACTGAAACTGTGTGGGGTTTGCATGTTCTTCCCCCTGTTCTGCACGGGTTTATTCCGGTTTCTCAGCTTTTTCTCCCATCGGAAAGAGTGAAAAAAAAACATAAAATGTAACAGGTGTTGGCCAAACATCCCACTGCTGAAAACATTTAACTCGGTTCGGATTACGCATACCAACGTCACCTCCCCCCCCCCACCGCCAAAAAAACACTTGGCAAGATTC